TATCTCTGAAACGACAGCAGCACATGTGACCATTGATTTATACAAAGGACTATTTTAACCCTTTAAAGCCCGGTCCAAGAATAAAACAAAACAGAAAATTACTTTTTTTTGGTTTGAAGTCCTTATTTGGCCTTTTAACAAAATATGTAAAAAGAAAAACAGAAATACATATTTGATATTAATAATTTATTACTATGCGATAAGTTAAGATTATTTTTTGTGTAGTCTTCTGCCCTCTGTTATCAGGTATATCTGATTGTGTAAAATAGGATTTTGAGCATAATTTTTACCATCAAATTATGCAAAAGGTTCAGACGCAAAACATTTCAGAAACCGTATGTATCAAATATGATACATTTGGCATTACAGGGTTAAGTGCACAAACCTGCACTAGGAGTAATAACCTTTTAGTCTATTTGGTGAGATTTTTGTCGTCAATAGGGTGTCAGCTTCACGCAGTTGAAGCTCCTCCTATTTGATGATGTGGTCCAGAGTGTAAACACTTTGCATCTGAAATGCAGATTGGTGAACTCCCTGCAGCGCCCACGGAAATCAATGCGTTCACCGCCTCCTGTGTGAACGCACCATTAGGAGGCTAATTGCCTTGAGAGGTTATTCTGCAAAACTTCATCTGTTACCGTCCTGCTTTGGTCCTTGGTCTTCATTTTTATTTTCTAATGTTCTCTAAAATAGCTCTTTTAAACAAAAGCTGTGATTATTAAGTGATAAAAGTAGACAGATTAATTCTGGTTACTATTTAGGTCATTTCTTAGTTTCAGCCTTTTGGGGTATCAAAGTAGAAGGGGGTGATTACAAATTCATGCAACGCTCTTCATATTTAATTTGAAAAACATTTTGAACACTGTAACGTTTTCTTTTTATTCCATAAACAACTTTTGGAAATAATTAGGAAGTAGTATTGTGGGAAAAAAAAGTGGGTTTTAGTGCCTTTGTGTGCTCCTATAGAGGTACATATAGACCTACTTTTTTCTTCATAAGCAAGCTTAGCAAAAGGATTGCTTCATAATTTTAATGTGCATTCCATTCTGTGTGCTATGAAATACCAGAGGAGAGTAAGGCTTGTTTAATGCGATCAAATTCCTGTCATAATCCTTCGGTACTCGTTTCTGCTTCATCTACAATTGCAGTACGAATGATTGCTGTAACTTTGGCTTTAATATTCGTTTTAGATGTTACGGTAACATCAATTATAAGGAAAGGGAAAACGAAAACCGCAAGTGTGTACACAGAAGGATTTAGCAAGGGTTTAATAGGCATTATAGTACAACTGGAGGCATGGCATGAGATTTGGAGCTTAGTCACCGGACAAAAAAACTGTTGCCAGGGATAAGCTGTATACGGTTTAGCTTATTTGCTTTTGTGCTCGTGAAAACACAAGCAGAGAGCTTGTTACAACAAATACTCTTAATTGTATATCACTTCATCTGAGTCGATATTTTTTTCAAATGCTAAACCAAATAAAACATTTAAATTTTTTTTATAATTGTGCTTCCAAATGTATTTTTTCTTCTATTTTCTAATACATTTTTAAAATATGTTGTGTATATTTTTTTACATCAGTCTGCTTCGAAGTGATTCCTTTGCGCCCCTCAAAACGACTTCTGTGTCTCCTAGCAACAATACAATATACAACTTTTTATACTGCAAATCAGGCCTCTGCAAGCTACATTCTTTCCGTCACTCTGTCAAGTTTCCATTCATGTTAAACACTCTTAGCATGTGTTTTTTTTTATTATTAAACCCTAATACCTTTTTCTGATTTTATTCCAGCCCATCAGCCAGAACTGGAGAAAACAACAGCACTTCAGCGACCGGCCAGTCCAAGCCTGGCGGGCAAGCCCATAAGATATGCCTGGTGTGCTCAGACGAGGCATCTGGATGCCATTACGGGGTGGTTACCTGTGGCAGCTGCAAGGTCTTCTTCAAGAGGGCTGTCGAAGGTTAGTCTTAGATTTCCACTCCACTGCGATCACAGTTGATTGATTTCTGTAAATGACCCACTCTTTGTAAACGGTTGATATTTCCATTAGTGGCGGAACAAGTTGCTTCTATGGAAATGTGTGGCTTTAATGCAGCTTTAGTAAAGTGTCAAAATGTTTTAAATGAGCAGCAATCGTAAAATATACATTTTTGCAAGAGTCAGTTTTTTACAGTTTTATTCCATCTTAAGCTTTTTGGTTTCTTTTTTTAATCCTCCTTAAATTCATTTTTCTAAATCAAAGTGTTGAGTAATTTGTTGACGGACTGTTTTCTTAGTGTTTGTTTAGATCTGGTCACCACATGTATTTCTTTTTCAATGTTGCAGAGATTAATTGACTAGTCATATTTAATTATTAGTAAAAACCTCCAAAGTAATCATGGATTGTCTAGGGGTGGAACGGTTGAAAAAGCTACTGTTGAAGTAATGGTTTAAGGATCAAAGATTTTCACTTGAAATCACCACTTGTATCGGGTAATTGGTTTAGAAATACCTGACATCATGAATAGATAATGTTTCAGGTGTGTATATAAAATATGTTTGCCTCACCTTGTAGCCTTGAACATAGGAAGTCATTCAATTTTCATTAAAGAGGAAAAACTTAGTCACTTAATCTCAACCTCAACAGCAATGTAGGATGTTCATCACAAAGATAATTTCACTGCAGAGCCAATATCGGCCCACTTCTGACACAACAAATATAGTCATTTCAGTGATTTAGTTTGGTCTCTTAATGTTCTAACATTTTACCAAGGTTTACTGTTTTTCAAAAGAAGTAGAATCTCTTTCCTTCCTCATCCTTGAACTATTGATGAATCACAAACTCCTGACATCTTTTTAGAGCCAACATATTTAACCTGTTTTTGCTAGATTGAGCAATTTTTTCCCGTTCTCTTGAGCAATCATTGTGGCAAAAACTCTTAAGTAATACACGTAGCATTTTTTTTCCCTAAAAGTTGATTATATACTAATATGTTTATGAATTGTGGGTTCAGACAAAGCCGTACAGTTATACAATTACTTCATGACATTCATATATAGGATTTTAATTCAGTATTATAAAGTCAGTTGAAAATAACTGTAGACATTTTATTTACATTATGGTTTTATAATGTGTTAATAAAGGGCGGGATCAGCTGTATAATCTATTTGAAATGTAGTCGGGGAGTGGACTGTCTCCTCTCCGCTCTGAATGCAGGCGGTGTTTGCTGCACACTGCTGTGACCACCTGTCAGTGCTTGGGAAGTGCGATGGGCTCACGGCGGCTCTTTAAAGATAATAATTGGTGCTCAACATGTAGCCATCAAAGTCTCAAGTAACACGCCGTCATTTAGCTAGTAGTTTCTGAGTTTTTTCTAAGTTGTTAAAGGGTCTGATTACTCAGTTGATGAAGCAACACAATCGCTAAGATTGCAACATTGAGAAAATTACTACCTGTATGAGCTAATCGTATCACTGCCAATGTCAGTAAACCATGTTGCTTTTGAAAAACATATGGCTGTTTATAAGTGCAACATTTCAGCACCCATAAACTATCCGTCTTGTTGACATCCTAAACAAATGCGCCTCGGCCAGCTGGAACAAATGATGCTAGTAAGTTCTATCAAGTATTGGATACTGTTGATGAATATATCACCTAATATACTGTATCCTTTTCTGATGTAGATCTGCTTTATACTAGTTAGCGTTGCTGTTTGCATTTCCACGAAATCTAAGTCTGAAAACCAAGCCTTTTTAAGTTAATGGACTGAGCTGTGCAGCATAGTTTTTTTTTTTTTTTCATACCGAGAACGAACCGTTCCATCCCTCATACTTTCCTGCAGTACAGTAGACTATTAACACAGCCTTTTTTATTCTCCATGCCACAAAATCCTTCTTTATCATCCAGTAGAGTATTAACTTATTTTATGCAGGCAAGCAATTTGCCTGTTTTTTCTTTTTCCTGAAATAATATTGGCGACAAAAGGAACGCGGCAGACGGACAAAATAACTTTTGGGTCTATGCTTTTTTTCTCTTGTGTTCCTTCCTGTTGTTTTACTCTTTCTGTCTTTTTACATTCTGTTCCTGTAGATATGTTCTTACTTTCTGGATGTTTTGTTTTTCCACAATTGATCATTGCTTGCACTCATCAGCTTGCAAAGCCTTGGTGAATAATAAATAAGCTAGTCTCTTAATTTGTATTGATCCAATGCTAACAAAGAACCAACTGCAAAGAGATGACCCTCACTAATCCTTTTCTCCCTGGTTGAGAGACCAGTAGCTCTTTCCTGCTTTCTCTCCATTTCATTTGCTACCTCTGTCCGCTTCCTCTGTAACCACAGCTACCATTCAGGGTGAGGTAATAGCTTATGAACAAACCTGCTTTCACAAATCATTACTCCTTATTTTACATGTTTGTCTAGCTTTTGCAAGACAGAAGTATACTTTTTCTTCATGCTAATTAGACTTAAAAAATGTATTAACCTTATGAAATATTGTTCACACAAAATTGATAAATTAAATATGTTTTAATTGATGTCTCAGGTTCATTATAAACATTTGTGAAAGACAGAGACTAGGGCTAAAACATGCTTTGAAAATGCTCTCAGAATGCTAAAAGACTGAGAAAAATGAAGAAAATAAATTTTTTTCATTCTTATTTAAAAGCGCAAAACAAAACAGCACAAGGAAGAACAGTTTGAATGAAGAAAAGTCTTTAAATTTTTACGCAAATTTTAGGAAGAATACAAAATTCTACATGTGCTAAAGCTGTTCTCGATTGATAATAAGAAATGAAGCCTTTTTTATTTTCTCCCCACAAGAAAAACTGGAAAGGCTTTATGAAAAATCTTGCATTCAATTGTTGAAAAGCTTCTAAAGCCAATAAAGCATTTAAAAGATTGCCTTAAAATAAGAAACACAACCATTTCTTTATAATATTTTGATTAAATTTATATAGCTTTTGATCTAAAACGTTCAATTCATAAGTTTCACCATTCTGTTATATAATAGCTTATTATGTTTCTATTAATTAATCGTGGACATTTTTATCTATTTGGTAAAAGATAAGATACTTTAAAAATGTTCATGGTGATCAGGCAATATTCTAGTTTTTTAATCATTTAAAGAGCCAATAAGTCAACATTTTAGGACATTTTCCACTTAGACGGGATTTGATGCAACCAGAACTACTTTATGCTACTGACATTTTCTACTGTATGTGGGAGGAAACACAAGAAAAATGTCGTATTTTTGTCTTTGATTATGAGCATTAAATAAGAGTTGGGTTTTTAGTTTTTCTTCCCTAGTACTAGAGCTTTTAACCGCATTTTAAACGCATGTCTTTGTTTTTGTTGTTCTTTTGCTTACCTGCTTTTACAATGTTGTGCTGATGTCCTCACGGATAAGACAGAACTGAACTGTCACTTTATCTGAAAAAGAAATCGCACTGAGAAAGTTATGTTTTGTCATTTTTGTTTTTCTCCCCCTTGTCTGTTCTCTTCTCATCATCTCTATGGTGAAGGATGGAGAGCACGGCAAAACACAGATGGTAAATAAATGCACTTTGTAACTGCATTAATAATAATAATATTAATGGTAACAATCATTGTAATTGTGATTATGATGAAAACTGTGTCATTTCTGATTCGCTCATGTCCCTGCATTCCTTCAGCACTAAAATATGAGCAGTCTGCCTACACATGCACTCAAGCCTCTGCTGCCAACTGTCTCTGAATGCATGCAGATCCTCTGACTTGATGAGTTAAAAAGCGCTGGTTTCCTTTGATTATTGTGCTCTTCAGCTCTAACTTCACCTACTTCACCTCTTCTCTAATGATCTTTAATCTCAAATTTGATGTCACAACCACCCTCCACTTTGCTTAATCCTCATCCGTTGACCCACTTTATCTCCGGATATCTGTCACTATGATGCTCAGGTGTTTAAAGGAATCGTTTTACAAGCTGTTATGGTGGGACTTTAGAGGTACATTGGTTGCAATAAATAATCCCTTTCATGCTTTTTGTTCTTTGGTTATTAAATTACAGCCCAGCCATACATTATCATTTATTATTATACATAATTATTTAGATTATTTTAATATTTAGTCATTTAACTGCTTAAATTGATCTAAGAACTATATTTCGATGTTCAGTAAACTGACCTATATTGTAATATTTCTTTTTCGTTCAGTATTGATTCCATTCATCAACCCCATTTTCCATCTCTTGACACATCTCTAAACTCTGGTCAGTAGATCAGACCATGATAAGACACTCAGCTGGCACATTTGACACCACAGATGGCTGTTTACGTTTTTTTGCTTGGATGACATTCTGCCGTGTTAGTGATGCCTTCAGATGACAGCCTGGGCATCGTCATTTTGTGTTTTTAACACTCACGCTACACACTAATAACTTGTCTGTTTTGAACAAGATCACTCTCCAGTTTTGAAGCTTTCTAGGCTTTAGTTTATTTTTTTTTTTTTTTAAATATGGTTTTTAGGATTTCCTTACAAAGGTCTCTGGACATCTAAACATTTTAGAGCAGGGGGGTCTCAAACTCAAATCCTCCAGGGTCGATGTCCTGCCACTTTTAGACGTGTCTCTGCTTCAACACAACCGACTCCAATATGAGCTCTTTAGCAGGGATTGACTGCTGCTCATGTGGTAGTTAAGCTATTTGATTCAGGTGTTAAGGGCAAGGGACACATGTAAAAGTAGCAGGACATCGGCCCTAGAAGATTTGAGTTTGAGACCCCTGGTTTAAAGGCTTCATATTAACTCATATTTTATTACAGAGTATTATCACACTGCTGCAGTTCTCTACCAGAGAGCTTTGGAGTCATTAATTTGCTCTCCTTTTCCATCCTCCACCCTGCGTGTGAAGTAGGATAACTTGATCCCTTTTTCAGCTTTGCTCACCCAAGTTTTGGGATTTTTGTCTGTTTTTTCTGTGTTTTCCAGTATTATCAGCATTACTCGGCCCTTTGCATATCCCTGCTCCTTGGAAGTATCTTAAGCTGTGTTAGAAATCGTAAAATCTCTGCTGTATGTTTTCTTGTCATCCCAATTTTGAAGATTATAAAGCTTCGTTTGCACCACAGTGAGTCTGGTTATTAGCTACTATTTATAATCCCCTTCACACTGGTAACTTCAATAAGGAAATCCTAAAAGGAGAGTGTTTATTTTAGCTTTAGATATGCAGGGGAATCAATGAGCTAATTCTTTGTCTGTCACATTAAGTCAGTGGGCCTCATGCAACAACATATTCACATTCTTGTCGTAAATTTCTCTGACTTTTTCTTCCCACATCAGATTCAACAAACGTTCTAAAAAATGATTGTGAATAAATTTGACGCAGACCACCTGTGCATAAGTTTGCAATAATGAGCTTTGATAATGTCATATAAGGCTGTGACCTCCCATGCTGTCAGAAGGCATTCATTCAGAAATGACAGTGGAAATGAAGATGAAAAGCTTTTCTGGTTCGAAGATTAAGGTTCAGCCACCTGAGAGCTGAACAGCAGAATTAAATGAACCAGTAAAAGCCAAGCAGTGGCAAATAAATTACAAGAGCTTCAAATCGAGTGGTTGCACTGTTACAGAAGTATGAATAAAATAATTCAATGAAAACTACTGGTGGGGGTAATATGATGTAAATGCTTAACATGAATTCAAGATCGATAAACCTGATGATGTTCTGCTAAATCTCCTTTTAAAACACGTGTACTGTAAAACTCTAGACCATGTTTGTCATTTTTTCGTTGCACTCTCATCACTCTAATGCATAAACATAGAAATGTTAACAGGGAAATTTGTAAAATAAAAAAAATAAAAAACAAAACACAACATTTCACATTTAGTGTAATAAGAAAGCCAAGGAGCTGCCATGCAGTGAAATGAACTCAAGTATTAGTACGTTGCTGAACTTTATATTTTCTGTTCCTTTTTTATTTCAATAATAGCTTGATCCCGCAAAGAGTTCACTGACTGCTCTTTCTTTTGAGGAAATTACAGCAAATTAAAGCAGTGACCTCTGGATAACGACATGTAGCCTTATAAAATTGGCATTTCCTTTTAAGTAACAACAAATGTGGTTGTTTAGTAAAAAACTAGGGTTGGGACTTGTATGTCTCTTACATACGGAAGAGGATTAGGGCCACTGAAAAAAAAAAAGTTAACTGATTTTTAAATTTTATTTCAGTTTAGTATGGGACTTTTATTTCAGTTTAGAATTCTGACTTGAATCTCAGAATTCTGACTTTTTTTTAGAGTTCTGACAGATAAACATGTTAGCATCAAGCCATAGCCATGTCTGTTGTAGAGACTAGCTCTCTTGTTTTAATGACCTTCTGCTACTCTAGTAATGAGGGGACATCAAAGTTGCCTAATTCCGTCATTTTCCACCAATGTGTCTCTGGCACTCTCAAACAACTCACATCTTTGTCAGTGAAGCTGAGTGCTCCCACATCTCTTCCTTCCCGTCTACATTAAGATCCAAAATTCTGAGATTAAAGTCAGAATTCTGAGAAAAAAGTCAGAATTCTAAAATTAAAGTCAGAATTCTGACTTTTTTTCCAATACTAAATTGAAATAAAATTTTAAAATCAGTAGACTTTTTTCTTTTTTTACAGTGGCCCAATCCTCTTCCGTACTTACGTCTAGTCTAAAGCACTCGTAAAATTAGTTCTTACCCGAGAGCAGATTAGAATTAGGAGAAAAATGGTGAATGCGACATTTTCTCCTAAATCACTTGTAGAACATTTTGATTGTATAAAACGCTTGCATGAGGCCCACTGTCAGCTACATTTCTGTTTTTTTTTTTGTCATTATATTTGTCAGATGTGCACTGTGGTGGAAGATTTGAGAAAATATAACCTGAACCTTTTTTTAGTACTCTTCACAAAATAATGCTGGGAGCCTAACAAGCTGGATATTTAGAGGCACTTTAGCCTGGCTCTGTTTTCATGCATCAAATAGGCACGCTACTACTTTCCTAGCATGCAGCTTTACTTTTAAGAGAATATTACAGTCCTTGAGTTTTGACCTCTTTAGATTTTCACTCCATAACCCTCCAAGCAGGATGACCTAGTTTGTTAAAAAGAAAAAAGAATGTGGAAGAGAGATTCTATGTAGTTAGAGAAAATTAATGTCTCTCTGGAATTTTATTGGTTTCATATTTGACAACAATAAGACAACACATATAAGACAACAAGTCTTATATGTCCAAACAAAAATGTTATATTGAAGATATTGACTCTGTCTATGCTCAGTTGGACATGAGTTCCCTAAAACGCTGAATAATTTAAAGAAAATAGTTAGGGGTGTCAATAAATGAGCTGTCATGGATATGGTAAAATTTGTTCTTTTTTTTTTTCAAAGGATGAGAAATATATATATATATTTTTTTTTCACATTTATGAAAAGTGGTGTAATTATATGTTTACACACTCAAATATAGGAAACTAAAAAAATTAAAATCTGCTTTGCCATCTACAAATGCCCACATATCAGCAACCTTCACGGCAGGAGATGGCATCATTTTAGCCTGAGCTAATCATTTGCTTTATGTCCCAGATTCAGTGTTTGTTGATGATCAGGGCATCCAGAACGCAGCGCTACTGGAGTCGCTATTCACAAAGAAAATGACTTAATGCGTCATTTAGAGGAAACAAAGATGGCTGTGACTCATCCTGGTTAACCGAAAAGCCTGACTGTGATGCTCTGTACGTTCTGTGCATAACCGATGACAACTGAACAGTGATTGCAAAGATATATAATGTACACAATTAAAAGATTAACATTGCTCCATTAAATTATATAAGTATGTAAATTGGCATGTCCCTTGGAGCATTGTTTGAATGGTTAATCAGTCACAAAGATTTTTTTTTCTTCTTTTTTTTTTCTCAAAGCACCCACAGTGTAGGTAGGCACTTTGATGTGCAGACAACTGGTATAACTTCTTATTTTCTTACTCAGAGGTAGCTCACAGCCTTGATGCCGGAAGCCTTGATTCCCTTCATATAAAAATTCATACAAAAGTCTTATTATGCAGCCATTAAAAAACAAATTTTATTAGGACTGAGATGCCCTTAAGTTAAATTTTAGGAGGAGTTTTAGCTTTTTGATTCCACTTGGAGACCAACAGTCCAAACTGAGATTCTACAGTGCCAGAGGTGGTGTTTAAAATTGCACAATTTCAGTCAAAAATAGTCTAAACATTCTAAAAATACAGTAATATTAAATCAATAATTATTATTTTCAATTTTTTGCATTTAAACCCTCTGTGTGGGCAGACCTTCCTCATAGGATCAACTACAGTCTTAAGATGCAATGCTTAGATATTCTAGACCAGGCATCCCCCAAAGGGCCGCTGTCCTGCAAGTCTTAGAGGTTTCCCTGCTCCAGCAGAGCCGATTTACATTGATAGTTGATTAACAGGCGTTTGCTGAACTGCAATCATCAGAATCAGCTGTGCTAAAGCAGAGGAACCTCTAAAACCTGCTGGACAGTGGCCCTCCAGGACTGACTTTGGGGATGCCTATTCTAGACCTTTAGAAAAAGAAATTATCTGTAGCATAACCACACACCTACCATAAACTCTGTAACACAGACTGTTATGGTAGTTACAAATGTATCAGACGCTAACCTGTGATAAAACACATTCAGTTCGTTAGTGTTCCTCTTTTTCCTCCTTTTGTTGATAAACGAAATTTTCAAATTAGTGAATAAAACCTCAATTATCACTGTTCACAACAACACTAATTGCTTTTTTTCCCCTTCCTGGCATTGGTTGTATTAACTATTAAATTTTAATAGGTTGTACCATGCCAAACTTTATGATTTTACATTATTTACACCTCTACACTACAGAACTGCAGATATAGTTCACATCCTGATAAAAGAATTAAAGAATGCCATTTGGTTTATACATTGCCTTCCAGCTCTGGATATCAAAGATCTGCAGAGAGACTGTTATTAATAGAGCAGTCATTGTGGTCCCAAAGGGCTTTTTGTACATGCAAGTCAGTACTTTGAATGCAGCCTTGTTTCTGTGCAGATGACATCCTCTGCAGTCATGCTCCAGCTTCTCAGTAGGAAGCAACACCACTTCTACACAACTTATATCGACCCAGAAATAGAAGTTAGATAGAGAAAAGTGATAAACGGTAAAAAAGGAGCTAGATTTATTTGTATATTTTTAGCTATCTCATTTATATTTTATCACATATTCATTTTGGCCTTTGAGATGATTTATATATATATATATATATATATATATATATATATATATATATATATATATATATATATATATAT